GTTAAAGAGACGAGGAATTTTCCCTTTCATAATGAATTCATTTTAAAGCAATAGCTGTGAAATACATCCCTGAATAAAAAATAAAAAATAAAAGAAGAAGAAGAAGAAGGCTAGAAATAATACAGAATTTTACGGCGAAGGAATAATTTGTCCTACATGATCACCGGTAATAAATACGTTTTATCTATTTTGGTGAATATTTAAATGTCTTTTGAAACCCAACTATTCCTTCTCAAGATGAACCGAATCACAATTTTCTATATAATTTGTGCCACTATATACAATTCAGACCTGTTGGCCATAACCCACATTCCTTCTCATTTCTTTGGGAGAGTGTATACACACACACACACACACACACACACCGGTTGGGGTTTTTTTTGGGGGGGGAGGGGTTGCTCTCCTTCTCTGCCAAAGAAATTACCATGCAAGTAGATTATGTATAAAGTGTTTGTATGTACCCAACATACACGAAAAGACACGCACACTTCCAAAAACGTCAACAGGAAAGTGTATGTGTTTGAGTTGACATGAACCTCGTATGCCTAAGCATCTATAGAGACCTATATACAGGGCAAATCGTTTGGACTTTTAAAACTAATATTTTTTTTCATACTCATGTTTTCCAAACTCAATCCTTATTCAGGGAAATTTCTTACAGATTTCGTTGGGATGTTTGCAGGATGCACTAAGGATAGCAAGATAGTGCAGGTATATTATAAAATATGAGGGAAAATAATGCCTGATTCTTTTATTTTCCACACATACACCCTTACTCCAGGGCCAAATCAAGCTACCCTAGAGGAAAATAAAGAACCTCCCCTAAAACTCTATAGTTTTTAACATAGCACTGTTACTGGAAGACAAACACACACACACTCCGCTTATATGTGTCAATATGCACTCTATTAGGAAGTGTGGAAACTGTATTAAACCCAGTACAAGTAATTATTGTTTGCTATGTCCACTGTATTTCCTTCACAGTAAAACTTATTCAAACTGCATCATGCTGCGATTCAATGGGGTGTCTCTCCATTCTGTTCCAAGAGAGGGTAGGCTATGCTAAGCAATCACAGACATAGATTTCGGGGGTGGGAGGGTGGTCAGCAAAGCCAATTCTATACGCTACTATTACCCCCATGGGTGGGTTTCCTACTGGAACTTTTTTTTTTGCGGGGTGGAGAGAAATATCATTTATCGATCTTTTAAAAGGGGTTTTATGCATTTCTCCCACCGCAGCTAAACTTTACCTTTGCCCCGAAGAAAAGAAATGTCTACAAATCCATTAAAGATAAATCTTGGTTTCTAGAGATACACGTAAAATCATAACCTAATGTATTTTAATTAGCCTGATGGGTTTTTTTTTTATTAAATTGTTTTTTTTGCTCAGGTCCTACAGTTATGAAGAAAGCACAATAAGATCAACATTAATAATAATAATGGTAATAATAATAATTCCAGGTTCTAAAATATTTCTACAATATATGTATGTCAAATCGTTAAAAAATCGCTTTCAGGGACATATTTATTCTGACGTCTTTTTCCCCCGAAAAAAGACAAAAGAATGCTAATTATTCGATATACAAACAGTCCAGTTTTTTAAAGAAAGCATCCCAGTTCAATCTGCTTTCAATTAATGCTATATACACAAATATATTTTCATTAAAATACTAATTCTTATACTCCTTATTTCCCCAGGATTTTTCTAATTATATTTAGAGCAATGCACGAAGCGATATTTCTCTCCTTTTACAACGTATTTTACACATTCATTTAATTATTTTTTACGAAAAGATGATCTATAATCCACAGACGGCAGTGCTGGCTAATATATTTTTGTTACTCTTTTATTAACCTTCCTGGTTAATACTAATTTTAATAGTAAGCAGTAAATCACCAACTAGATGTTTGGGTACTTTTATTTATTATCAGAAATCACATAATAATACATTCATTTTTTAATTATTATTGTGAAGCAACTTTTTACATGACTATATAAAGCCAGAACGTGCTATGACAGACATTTGCATAGGCCCTACATATAATAGCTTGAGGTAAAAAACATTACATATGAACTATATTGCAAACGATGCATATTAACAACCGCAATAAACTAGGCTAGAGATACAAGCAGAAAACTGTGCCACAAACACAGGGGACTAACACAGGACAAACAGAAGTCTCACCGAATAATATTTTATAGCAGTCTGAAAGAGAATATTGCATATATGTCATATCTTTTAACATTTATAATCACGTGATTTCTTTTTAAAACCATTGAGTGGCGATGAACATCGCCTTTGTAACCAGACACATGTCATGGGGACAATTGTCAAGTATTAAATTCTTGCTGGTGGCTTGTCCAATGTGTTTCATAGTATATAGTGAGTCCTCTCCTTCTGTATAGACAGAAAATGCTCTCCCATGGGCAAAGAATTACAAAAGTGATTTTTGATATTTAAATATAGCCCTGCATTATGACCTGTCACCCTAATTCCTTTCAGTCTCTACAGCCCTCAAAATGCAACCTTTCTCCTAGTCAGTGAATTAACTTGTCCTGGGTTTGTAAGGGACAGAAATGGTGAGCTATTCTTTAGTTAATAAATCAAGCAAATATTGATACACGTGGTGCCTCTGCATTTAGCAAAACTCGAAGGCATCACATTACATATCCCCGGACCAGGGTCCTCAGTTTGATCGAAAATATCCTTTTGCACATAAGATCCATTGCATGTCTTTATATCTCATTTAGTGATAATGCGGTTTTAAAGAGTATCCTGTTCAAATTAAATGTCATAAATGGTCACTACAGGGCTGGGGATATATCCTTTGGGATCCTCGCGTTACCCTTTCACATAGGTAGAATTCCTCCACATTTCGCCCGCTTTTCATTGCACGTAGTATTTATTGCACAGTATTGTATGAGGCTGCGTCTTTCCCTTTAAACTCTTTTTTGCATAAGGTGTGTGCACGCGTGAGAGGGGGGGATAGCTCAGTGGTTTGAGCATTGGCCTGCTAAGCCCAGGGTTGTGAGTTCAATTCTTGAGGGAGCCACTTAGGGATCTGGGGCAAAATCTGTACTTGGTCCTGCTAGTGAAGGCAGGGGGCTGGACTCGATGACCTTTCAAGGTCCCTTCCAGTTCTAGGAGATAGGATATCTCCTTTAATTTAAAAAAAGGGGGGTGACATGCGGGGGACAGTGAGGTGGAGGTGAGTGGAGGGGTAGGCACTCCTGGATGTTTTTGGCACAGACATGGGAAATAGAGCTGAAGAAAAGGCCAGCTTTCAAACCGGGAGGCATTTTTAAGGACTAGAATACGTCCTTTGCAGCTCGTAAATAAAAGCATTCTTTGCCACTACTGTTCGGTCATGACCATGAACGCAGAGAACCGGCAGCACGTGGTAATAATTTAGGCTTCCCAGAGAACGTTGCTTTGTAATAAAATTAATCCATCCTATATAAAACGAATGAAGCAAAGCTTGTAGTGGCAAAAATCTAAGCTACAACGTCCCCTTTTATCTTAACCCTGGTAACTGATGTCCACCACCCCCTCTAAATATTGCTTTGCGGGCAGAAGGGTAGGAAATATCTGCCCAGCGCTGCAGCTACATTTCTTTCCAAGAAAGCTGGGGACGCTGTACAAGGCTGGTGGAATGCACACATTATGATTAAGCCAATTATTATTTTTCTGCAGTAAATCGGAACACACCTACAGGAAAAAAACACACACAATATTCAGCCAGCCCCTCTGTGAAGGAGGAGCGCAGTAGGCCTATGAGGTATGAACGGTGTGGGGAAGGGGGAAATGACCGGGTCTCCCCCACATTTTTCCTAAATAAAAGGACCGCACCCCCATAAATGTGGAGAGCGTCTGAGTTAAGGAAGAACTGCGGGTGATGGAAAATTGAATGTGTCACTAGTCTGGTTCCGAGGGAAAGCGGCCATTGATTTTTGTGTTTTTCTGTCTACTTGACTAGAAGTCATCCTAAAAAAAAATAAAAAATCAAAACCTGCTCTTTCCTTTCTAAAATAAAAACCAAGCGATGAAGTTAATGTTTAAAGACAGCTCTAGGAAGAAAGTATATTTGTAGTTTGACGCCATGGGTGAACGCCACAAAAGGGTATTTTCTTTTCTGTGCCGCCATCAATAAACACAGTAAAATGGCACAAATACTCCTGCAGCGGAGTTGTGTTTAAGCACACAAAATGACTTGAAGTAGCAGCTAATAAGAATACAATCGGGGCCAGTGCAGAAAACGCACTTGGTTTTGGTTTCAGAGGGAATCTCTGAAAGGCTCAGTTTAATTTGGAAGTAAATTCCATTTTGCGTCGAAGGATTTTCGGTGGAGCTTGTGGCTGGGTGCGTGAGTGCGGGGCCTGGACTCATTTTAATACCATCCCATTTATTTTGAGCAAAGCACCATGCAAGAAGCGCCAGGTATCGCAGCTAAGTTCCTAGCTCAGGGACAACCTGCTACACATTGCTATACATTCTTCTTCCTATAGCTACTGACCAATCCCGTTATTTTGTTCGCCGGGAACCCTCGACTTGTAATGAAAATGGGTCTGGAAATATGTACCACTGGCGAACCGTTCACCCTAAGAATGGGCGGGAGCTGAATGAAGGAGCCATACCACTCCAGAGAATGAACACCCGGCACTAAAACCTACGTTACCGTATAGGACAGTATCAGAGGGGTAGCCGTGTTAGTCTGAATCTGTAAAAAGCAACAGAGGGTCCTGTGGCACCTTTGAGACTAACAGAAGTACTGGGAGCATAAGCTTTCGTGGGGAAGAAAAGCACCTTTTCTAAACCTGAAAATGAAGCAACAAATCATTTGCAAGATTCTCCCCTCCCGAGCCCGTCACTTTTATAGA